GTGAATTAACTAGATGTGTGTGGGAACACTGCCCGGCAGCATTGAGGCCTCACTTGAGGTTTGTGGTCATGAATTTAAAATGAGACAAATCAATATGGGTGTGTGTTTTTCCCAGCCATGATTGCAGGTGAGGAATAGGCAGAGAGTTGGATTTAATCAGGGTTGGAATTTTGCCAGGCAAATACCAAGCATGAGAAGGGGCAAGATAGTTGATTATAATGAGGCAAAGCAGTGATTATATCAGCGGCTGTGGGAGTCTAAACTGGGTAAGGAGGGAGGGAAGACGTGTAGGAGAAGGGGGTGGGTAATAATGTGATGGTTTGGAGGTCCTTCATATGTACGTAATGACATCACAGGCAAAGAAATGGGAGCCAGAGGGACAGAGGCTAAGAGGAGGAGGAGGAGCGTAGGATTAGGGCAGGGAGCAGGCCAAGGAATGGAAAGGCCAGCAATGTTTACTTATATGGCTACAGAGTGACAAGTGTTGTGACAAATAGAAACAGTGTCTCAGGTGATGAAGCAATCATGAGTGGGGTGTTCCAGAGGAGAGTAGATGATTGTAAAAAGGGAGGAAACTAGATGGTATAATCCGATTGCCTGTTCTTCAAAGCACTGAAGAATTCAAAGAGGGGAAAAATAGGGTAAGCGGCAAAGAGAAGAGAGGATGCTGACCCCAGGCCCAGGTCCAGCGGCAGATACTGATTCCTGATGCTGAGAATGAGCTACAAACCAGACAGACAAGGACCGTGATTTTATGGAGATTATACTTCATTCAAGAAAGTAAAAAAATAAACAAACAAGATACTATCAGATAATGAGAAATGTTAGGAGGAAAATGGAAAGCGATGTTATTGATGGTGTCCAGACCTGGGAATGGGGGTTGGGCAGTTTTAGTTCAGTTGGTCCAGAGGAGATGGTTTTCAGGGTGGGATGTTGCAGGGGGAAAAAAAAAATAAAGTGCAATGGCAAGTCCCAGAGCATAGTCTGATTAAAGAAACAACAGGAAAGATCAGGATTTATCTAGATTTAGGGGCCTGTTCTGAAAGATTAGGACTCCACGTCTGAAAAAGGAACAGTGCTGAGCAAAGCCTTCAAGAAACAAAGATCCGAACCTTAATTGTTTATTTGACAGCGCCTAAGGATGGATTAGCACAGAAAACAACATTCTAGATGAATCCCTCTTTGCAGCTCAGAAAAGTTACAGTATTCCCAATACCTGCTTTTCATTAAGTGCTATATGTTTTTTTTCTATTGCCCTTAACTAAATCCCTTTTCCTTTGTCTAAAATCGAAGAACATTTTAATTCTGTTTGCATTGTTGGCCGAACATTAAAATTGCTTCGTTGGATTTCTCTCTCACTTGTTCTCATTTTTTATTTTATTGTTATTCAGTGCAAAACAAAAAGCTGTGATCAGGAAAAGACAATAGAGGGATGGCTGGAGGAAGCTTGTCAAAATAACCTCCCGCTTTGTGGTTTTGCTTTTGCACTTGCCCAAGATTCTCATATGCATAAAAAGGCCAGGAATTTATCATAAATGGCAGAAAATTGCATTCCATTAATTTCAGAGCCTTTGACTCTGACAGCTCAATCTTCAAGAGCAAGTAACTGCTCTTGAACATCAAGAATATTCAAAAAAGAGAATAAAAGGTATTTTGCTGATCTGTTTCATATTTTAGGAGAATATATTTCACTGCATTATCCAAAGAGATTTTGCTCAAAATCTCATCAGTTTGTTTAGAGTCAGCTTGTCTGCCCAAGCCCTCCACTTCAACATGGAGATAAAAGCTTAGTAACTAGGGGTGAGGTTGGTGCCAGGGGATCTCTTACAGAAATCAAATTAAGAAAAGTGAGATGATTTTTGAAATGAACTGGATTATTTGAGAAGCAGAGACTGAAAAGAAAACTCAGAACCTGGAATCATTCTTACCTCTATATCTCTGATATTTGTTCATTCAGTCTTGGCTTGAATTCCTCTAGTAGCAAGGAACTCACTATCCTCTAAGACAGTTCATTCCATTTTTAAGCAGCTTAACTGAAGAAAAAAAAAAAAAGTACTTCCCCTATAAGAGCAGAAACTAATTCCCTGTAACATTCACCTATTGATACCAGTTCTACCTTTCAAAGGCTCTAGCACACACAATTCTTCCTATATCACAAAGCCTCTTTCCTGCCTGCCTTGGGTTCAACATGCCTGATTGCCTTACCTTGAGATGGCTGTTTCAGGTATTTTTAAAATCAAAACAGGAGGATTCCAATGTGGCCACTCAATTTCAGACATACTTTTGATCTCATTGTATTTAAGAAATGTTGAGCAGAGTGGTACATAATCAGCTGAGGCTGAGGGACTGGAAGCAACTGTCTTCCACTCAGTATTTCCAGCAGACAGCTGGTGACACCGTGCAAGACCAGAGCTTACACCCATTCCTCCTCCATAAGAGCCAAGGCCAAACATTATACAAGCACATGAATTTTTAATGCTTTTCTGGGTCATGAATCATTTTTGAAAAGCCGATAAAATCCAGGGGGTGTCCTCTCCAGAAAAATGATCATCACATAAATTATGTGTTCAATTTCATCAAATTTATGTGTTCTTCTCTGCATTCCTTGTGTGGACTGCACCCCACTCCCACAAGATCTAGAGGCTCCAGGTTAAGAATCTCTGCTATAAACAAAACCGCACACCTATGCGCCAAATCCTCCAACAGCATTTCAAAGGGTTTTCACTTGAGGGCTTGGAACAAGTCAATCCATCCGCCCATCTTTTCAAATCAACCCAGTGTGCATTATGTGTCTCACACACCAGGACTATGGCTCTGAGCAAGACACTGTCTCATTCTCTGGGAGCTCATGGTCTAGTGGGCAGAGAGCAGGTAAGCAATTACCATCACATAATGACAGCATTATAACAGGTATAAAGACATGCACGGAGGTGAGGCACCTCACCCAGCCTTGAGGGTTTCCAGGAGGTCATTACAGAAAAAGCTTGCCGAGTCCTGAAAAGGTTTTGTAATAGATTTAAAAAAAAAAAAAATTAATTTTTCTAAATCTCAACTTTAAT